TAGAAAATTAAAATGATAAATTAAATTAAAAATTCTTTAAAAAAATGTTGGGTGGGGCAGCCAGTGGCGTGATGGTTAAGGTAGCTGGGTCCCATGTGCCTGACTGCCCAGGTGAAATTCAGGACCCAGTGGCCTAAAAGAACATGCCAGGAGCACATGCCTAAAATCCTGAAAGGAAGGTGAAATGGAGAAGGGATTGCAGTGTGCCTACTCCCCATGGGAGGTGCTTTCTCACTTTTCCTTTTTGGTGAACACATTTGCCCTCTGCAAAAAATTAAAAAATAAAAAATTGAATGATTTATTTTAGGGACCAGCAGATAGCATAATGCTGGGCTCCCGCATGGCCAACAGCAGTTTGAGTGCTGAGCCTGGTGGCTTAAACCTCACATCAGGTGAGTGTGAGTGTGCGCCCAAGATCCCAAGAGGAGAACGAGAAGAAGGTATTGCGGTGTGTGTGTGGGGGCGACTTCTTGCTTTCTGTCTTTCTCTGCAATAAGCCCACACACTCTCTAGCAAAAATCTCTTTCTCAAATAAAAAAGAATTATCTTACTTCTTCTTCAATTTGATCAGAGAGAGAGAGAGAGTGAGAAAGCAAGACGCCAGGCCCAGGACTCAAACTGCAGTCAGCTATATGGGAATCCAATGCCTTAACCACCATGTCACCTGCCAGCCCCTGGCAAAAAAATTTTTAAAAAAAATATAAAAAGTCACGGGGCAAAACTTTGAAAGAAATTTATGTGAACAGGAAGTAAGGATGAGGCTGGACAGGTAAATTGAGCGAGATCTTTGCAAGATCTGTTAAAGAGCTTATGGAGGTGTGTGTGTGTATGTGTACATATATAGTAAAATCACTCTGGTTATTATGTGGCAGGTGGACTGAAGAAACAACTGCGGACAACAGAAATGGAGGTAAAAATATCAAGAGGCTATTGAAATGATCCAGACAAGAAATGGTAACTCAGATTAGGTAATGGCAATAAAGATGGAGAAAAGTGGACAAGCCTGAGATACTTAATAAATGCAACAAGACTCAATGCTTGATTCAACATATGAATTACACAATAGGGAAGAATCAAGTCTGGATCCCAGTTTTTCAACTTGAGCGATTAAGGTAAATGGGACACATAGAAGAGCAAGTTTGAGAATTTTTAAAAGTTTTAAAAATAATTATTTTATTATTATTAGTTTCAACTTGCTATAGGGCATGTGTACTCACAAAAGAGAGAAAATGAGAAAGCCGCAGGTCTAGGACTTGAACCACGTTCAACCATGTGGAAGTCCAGCACCTTAAACACCACGCCATCTGCTGGCCCTATAAGTTTAATTTTTAACATGCTGAGTGTGAAGTGCTTGCATACATGGAAATGTTCAATAGGCAGTAGATACATGGGACCTGGAGATAAGGAGATATGCCTGGACATAAAAACTTAAGAGTTAGCAGACTTACAATGATAGTCACAGGCCAGAGAATCATTGATTTTCAAGAGGAAGAGAAGCTCTCAGAGACTGAAAAGTATGCCATACAGATAGAATGAAGGATCTACTGTCACGGAAAGCACGAATGATGATGAGTGTTCATAGTGGGGCTAGCAAATGCCATGCAAGTTAAGGTGGCTGGATCCCACATGGCTGACTTTGTGGTTCAAGTCCCAGACCCAGCTTCAATATTATACCAGGCACATGTGTTGCATACATGTACAAAATCCTGAAAGTGGAAGAGAAGGGATGGTGGCATGGCCATTCCCCATTGGGGGGTGATTTCTCACTTTCCCTCTTTCTCTGCCTCTTGTCTCTCTATAGCAAAAACTAAAAATAATAGCGTTCATAGTACTAAGTCGAGTAATTTAAAATGGAGCATTATATATCAGATAGGAAAAAGCCAATAGAACAGAGCTCTCACCCTTGGTCCCAAGGCAAGGTACTTCCACGGAAAGGTGTGGTGACCTGTATTATTGACTTCTGGTGCAGCTTCTCAATACATGATGTACATTCACCTGGGGATCATGTTAAAATGCAGATTCGCCTTATTGGGTCTTGGATAGGGCCTGAGATCCTGCATTTCTAAGAAGGTTCCAGGTGATGCACATACACAGGTGCATCAGACCAGACCACAGATTGAGCAGCAAGGTTCTGTTGTAGTTTGGAGCACAGAAATCACCTGGAGAACCTCTTCAAACAGATTAGTGGGCCACCCTCCCTTACAGATTCTGATGCCGTAGTTACACAATGGGATGTGATAAATTTGCACTTTTAATAAGTGACCAGAAGCTGGTGATAGAGATGCTGCAGGTCCTGAGATCGTATTTTGAGATATGTAGCTCAACAATCACTGGCCTGAAAGACAAGAGCAAACAAACTGCAAACAAGTATTACTGTACAGTCAGTCCACTGCCAGAGCTCTTCCTTCATGCTGCCTCCCTGACTCTTTGTTTATATAGCCAGAAGTAGAACAGTAGAGTGAGGGCCTCTAACTCATCATCCATTACCCCCAGGGTGACTGTATCTTAACTAAAGACTCATTCTTTTTCATTTGCTAGAGGGCATGTGCACTCCCCAGAGAAACACAAAGAAAAGAGAGAGGGAAAGAAAGAAGGCGCCCCCATGGGGAGTGGTCACATCATATCCCTACTCCTCCATTTCTCCTTTTGAGATTCTGGATACCATGAACACGTGCCTGGGGTGTTTTTCAAGCCACCAGTGCCAGATTCAAACCACGCTATTAGCTACGTGGGATCCAGCTGCCTTAACCACTGGCTGGACCCTAAGGAATCATTCTTAATTGGCTTATTCATTCTCAGGAGTGGGTGCCTACTTAAGAAAAGTTTCAAAGGTTTGCTTGCTTGGTAAAGCCATTTCATATTAAAATAATCATAAGTTGATGAGTATGATTTCCTTTACTCAAGAGATGAGTTACATTTTCCCCTAGAGTGAGATAATTTAAGAACAAAACCTATACAGCGAGTCAGGTGGTGGTACAGCAATAGTGCACTGGACCCTCAAGGGAAAGGTTCTGCATTCCCAACCCAGTTCAAGACCTCCCCTGAGCACCAAGGTGTGAAATAATGCTGGCTAAGACTGGGAGTGGATTGTTTTGTGAGGTTATTGAGGTTACCTCTGTTAGCTCTTTCTCTCATGGAGAAAGTCCACTTACAAACTTTGCGATCAGCAGATGGTATAATGGTTATGTCCTGGACTCCCACATGGCGGACCACAATTGAGTCAAGGATCTGATGGCCTGAAACTCACACGGGGTGCCTGTGCATGCCCAAAATCCCAAGTGGAGAATGGAGAAGGGACTGTGGTGTGGCCATCCCCTCCTGGGGGGCTGATTTTTCACTGTCTGTCTGCATGGAGTACTCCTGCCCTATAGCAAAATTCTCTCTTAAAAAAATTTTATGAACTTTAGGAAAACGAAAGAAAAGGCTCTTCAGAGTAAGAAGGGGGAAAGTCCTATTTAAGGACTGGATTCACATATTTATTAAACACACAAATATATTTTGTTGTAAGGCATCTTAATCTGAAAAAGATTATAAATACAGTCCCTACCCTCTGCCTTCAAGTCCATAGTAGACACCAACGATGATACTGAAACATGACAAGTGCCATATGAATGAACAGCTGACATTAATTTTTATTAAAACCCCCCAGCACATATCTCTGTCCATTCCCACAGAACGTGTGCTTGTTATTAATAGCAATGGACACACAAAGGCAGAGAAAAATATCCGGCAGGGGAGACTGGGCAAGGCTTCGGGATGAAGTGATTTCCTGCTGGAATTATACCGATGGGCCGGCGATTTCAGAGATGGAGGTTCCATAGGGTCACTCCATAACAAAAATTAATTAACGTATGATTTTGGGTATATGCTGATAATCGGTTTTGTTTATAGTGTGATTAATAAAGATATGACGGTTTAGAGCACTGGACCTGCCTTCAAAAGAGGCTGACAACCTAGTTTGGACATAGAATAACTTAACATATTGAGAATACGAAGAAGCGTATTTTCGAAGAAAAAAAGAAAAACTAAATAGAACATAGCGCCCGGGGCACCAACGCTAGAGGGACATCTTTGGATGTCTAAGTATCTCTGTGGGTACCTTCACTGGCAGTCAGTACTTGATTTCCAAGCGGCAGTTGGGGGCTGGAGTGTGTCAAGACTCAGAAAAGGAGCTCGCCACGTCTTGCAACCGGAGACGTAGGCACAAGTTCGAGGGGCCTGACTCGAACTTCCGTTCGCCTCCCCTCCCTTACCTGGCCCTTCTCATCCGCCAACAGGACGGCACCGGCAGGGAGCG